TGGCCCAGAAGACAAAAAGAACGTTGCAAAAGCATTAATATGAGTCGGTGAGAGGATCCACAACATCACTGCTTTGCAAGGTCTTGTGGCAGTTATTGTGAGCTGCAATGGAGAATCCACTTAGGCACTTCAGTGAAATTTTCAAACTTCTCCGAGGGCACTAAAATTTAGATTATTGAAAAGAGCTTAATTGGCTTTCTGTTTTCAGAGCTTTTTAAATTTTTGTGCTATCTTTGTTAGTTTAGAAGCAGCGACCGTTTTTGTGAATCAATTTTCGCCCCGATTTGGCCAAATTTTTGCACTGCATTTTGTGCCACCAAAACTCGAAATTTTGCTTCACAACGTCATAAAATCCTTAATAATAGTTGTATCGTGACCATTGAGGTATCATTTTGTTTGCTGTTTTATGTAGAATCAATATATGAAAATAAAAGTCAAGTACATTAAGAGTAAAATTCTATTTACCGTTTAATTACGTCATAATCGTGACGTCGGGAGTCCAATGCCTATTATCCCAAAAAAGAAACGGGCACACTTTCCATAATAATGGTCCGATTTTCAAAAGAAAAACATCACTCATTTTGTTTTAAAGAGTTCTGTAACTTGCTACTGGGGAAAAATGATTAAAATTGAAAGCAGTTTCAATCTTACATGCATAACTCATGCAGGAGGTTGGCCGGTGCTCTGTGGTGTGGTTTGTTCCTTTTTTCCCTATTAACAATCAACCGTCCTTATCTCTCCTCGTTCTTTTCTGTGTATGTTACTCTCTTGTAACACCTCTAATCTTCGGGGCTTATATGACCTATTTGTGTTGCAAGTGCCGTTAAACCCAAGCATAACACAGACTTGAAGAATATGAAAGCGAATTCAACGAGTATGGTATAAAGCGGGAAATCACCATAGAATAATATGATAATTACTGAGGGTCACCAAATACAGATATATATAACATATATAATTATTTATATATATATATATATATATATATATATATATATATATATATATATATATATATATATATATATATATATATATATACAATATGCAATGATTCATATCCCGAAGAAGAGCGACACCAGTTCTATGATCAACTGATTGACCTTTTAAACACCGTGAATGACAAAGATAATGTGACAATGATGGGGAACTTTAACGGCAGAGTGGAAACAAGGAAAATGACGTGGGAGAGATACATGAGGCCACACAGTGACAGGGAAACAGATCAAAACAGCAATGGAGAAATGCTATTACAGTTGTGTGCAGAACATGAGCTCGTCATGTCAAATACCTTCTTCCAACACAAAAGGAGTCAAGTTAAAACTTGGTACAAATGCAATGATCTAAAGATAGCATTACAAATTTATTTTATCCTAGCCAAAAGATCGAAACTGAGAAAAATCAGAGACTCAAGAGTGATTCCCATCTACATCACAGACACTGACTACAGACCAGTCGTCATGACTATTGACACACCAAACAGGAAAAGGCCAGAAGCAAAGAAACGAGAAGTCGTAAATCTCAGAAATATATAAATGACAATAACAAGGATAAGATACATGAACGTTTGAAAGATGTATTTCACAAATTTCCCCCAAAATTGGGAGACATGAAAGAGGAATGGAGCCACTTCAAAGCATGTGTGTACAGAGCATTAAAAGAAGAGTGCAGCACCAGGAAAACAAGAGGGCATAAAAAGAAAACAACTATATGGTGGAATGACCAAGTGAAGGAAGCCGTCCAACTGAAGAAAAAGGCATTCAAAAAGCGGTAGAAATCAAAGACGGAGGAAGAATACATCCTATACAGAAAGGACCGCCGCTATATATCAAGGGTAGTAAAAGAAGCTAAGAACAGATCCTGGTCAGTATATGGAGAACAGCTGGTAACAAAATGTAAAGAAAACCCTTGAGAGTTTTACTAGTGAGTTAAAAAAGCATGAGGATGCGGGAAGAACCATTCAACCAAACTGAAATAGTCAATGATGAGCACAGAAAACCCTATTTTCAGAAAGCCAAAGATTAAGGAAAGATAGAAACGCGGAGCTGCTGAATCCTACAACAGAAACAACAGCAAACAGCTCCTCACCAAAAGAAACCAATCCAGAACCATCACTACTGCAGAGTGAAACCCAACATGTTATAAAGAATAGCCCCACAAACAAAGCGATAGGCGTTGAAAACATCACAGCAGAAGAGATCAAACTATACGGCCATATCGGAGAACTCTGGCTATGGAGGATATTTAACCTGGCCTGGGCGACAAAAACAACACAGAGCCTACAGAGGAATATCCCTTCTGAGCCGTGTGGATATAACGTTTGCTAAGATACTGGAAATGAGAATGAGACCAGTTGTAGAGACTCAACTCAATGAATCCCAGTTTGGCTTCAGAAAAGGCAAGGGCTGTACTGACGGTTTTTTGCATTCGGACAGTTGTGTGAGACTGCCATTGGGCATGACAAGACCTCAATATCGTCTTCGTGGAACAAGAAAAGGCATTCGACAGGGTAAATAGATGTCAACTTTGGGAAGTCTTAGAGGTTTTAGTAGCGGTTTTACGGCACCCGCAACTGCATAATGTCACATGAGCGCCAAGGGGTGGATGTCAACAGAGAAGTCCTTACAAGGAATCAAACTTACTCTGCTCACCTTTCTAGCTTCTACAGCACAAAGTCTGCTTAGACTATCAAGGCACCCCGGAAACAGCGGGTCGCAAGAGTGTGAGAAACATACAAAAAAGTAGAGGAAAATGACGATAGTAACGATTAAGAAAGAAAAAGGCGCAATTCCCTGTTGTAGTTCAGGCATGGTTATGAGCATGCCATTGTTCGATCAGCCCATTCTACTGTGCATTAGAACGGCCCCTGATTTGGAATGGCATAAAGACACTTCAGTCTTAGAGTAAGATGGTGTTAAAAGACAATTGCTCAAGAACATCATGGCACTTTATAAAAACAGCCTGTGTGCCGAAAGGTCAACAGAAGGACTATCGGACTGTTTCCCCATCACGTCTGGGGTGTTCTCTCTCCGCTTCTCTTCATCACTTACATGGATAAGATCACGAAAGCAGCAAATGACAACATCAATGAACTGAGCGAGCTTGTATTTGCTGATGACCAGAGTACATTAAATACAGATGAAGAGAAATCACAAAAAAAACACACCACAAAATTAATTAATTAAGAATGTAAACACCTAAACATGAAAATCTTCATTTCAAAAACAGAAGTTATGAAGGCAAGAAAAAACCCAGGAAAACTCAACATCCTTGTTGACGGAACACAACTCCAACAAGTAGAGGAATTTAAATATTTGGGAAGCATCTTCTCACTAGATGGGAGTATGGACAAAGAAAAAGAACTATGAAGGTAAATGCATTGACCTACCAGCTAACACCCCTTCTCAGTCACAAGAACATCTCAACTGAAGTGACGTCCCCAGCTCATCAATAGAATCTTCATACCAACATTAACATACTAGTGCCAAACATGGTCTCTAAACAAGGCATGAGAAAGGAAAATCAATGCACGCGAAATTAGATATTTCTGCAAAACCACCAACGTCACCAGAGGAGACCGCATAAGGAACGAGACCGTACGTCTACCAGTAGTAAATTTATTAGAGCGTCAAAGAGTCAAATGGTTCGGACGTCTAACCAGAATGCCCCAGAAACAACTAGCGGCTAGAGCTAACCACACCCGCTAATCCGGCTTTCAATCAAGAGGAAGACCAAGAAAGACCTGACTGGATGGGGTTAAAAAAGCCCTGGAACAATATAACTAATTAGCATATCTATCACAGACGCCGAAACCTGCACCTCCCCTCGACATCCTAAGGATACCAGAGGAAGGAAAAAAGTAAAATAAAGTAAGAACTGAGGAGCAAAAGTGCTCACTTTGTTGCAACTGGCATCTTCCTTCAGGGTTGTTTCATCAGTGGAAAAGAGTAATAGGCTTACACAGCTAATACCGTGAGTCGTGGAAGGATGGCGGCGGTGGCGATTATAAGACAAATAAGACAAGAAGGATATGTAATGGAGAAAATGTATAAAGTCGAAGAGCAGGTAAAGTGGGATGGAGAAGAAAAGAGAGGTACGGTTATGAAAATAAGAGGGAGTGGGAACGCACGAAACCACACACACACACACACACACACACACACACACACACACACACACACACACACACACACACACACACACACACACTCATACACATACACACACATACACACACACCCAGAGAGAGAGAGAGAGAGAGAGAGAGAGAGAGAGGGGGGGGAGAGAGAGAGAGAGAGAGAGAGAGAGAGAGAGAGAGAGAGAGAGAGGGGGGTGGGCGGGCGGGGGGGGGGGGATTTTGTGGATCCCCCAATCCCGTACATAGCATTTTTCGTTCTTGTTCATACGACAGAAAAGAAAAAAAATCTGGATCGGTACTAACAATAGACCTAAGAAATTTTATCTAACAAATAATTGCATCAGATACTTTAATAGGCGTCCAAATTTAATTTTTCACTGTGTTAACAACACGAGTCCGGACTCTTCATACTAGATCTAGGCCCTAGGCCCTAGGCCTACGCAATGAAAGGCTTTGGGCAGGGGAAAAAAGGAGGGAGAGGGGAGCTCAGTGAAAAGGAAATACTTTGGGTCTAAAAAGTCCCGGTTTCTCTATACTATCGAAGGAACTAAGGGACAAT